TCACTGCTGAGCTCTGTGGAGAGTGCTGTGGATGCCATCGACGAGCAAACCAACCCCACCAGGTCAGCAGCACCTCCTGCCCTGCTCTCTGGTGCAGGAGGGTGGAGGGAGATGCTTTTGCAGGGCAAGGGAAATGCAGCATGCACTGTGTGGGAGCAAATGAGAGCTGAGCAAGTAGCTGCCTTTCTCTTTGCCTCCCTTCCTGGCTTCCTGATAGCTCTTGGGGATTTTCTCCACCACTCTGTCCTGCCCTGTGCCTTACGCTCCCAGAGCCCTCAGGGTCCTTCTTAACCCCTTGTGACAACCTACCCTTAAGAAGGAGGAAGCACCTTGTTGTCAGACCTTCTGACTTTTATTGTTCATTTCATCCATGAGCATTTACAAATCACAGGTGCTTCCACCTCTGTAAGGGTGGGTTGTCACACCCTTTTGCCCACGAACAGTGTAGTGTGGGGGCATGCAAACAAGGGGCAGTTCTGGGTGCATGGGATTGCTTGTAACCAGGACAGGTTGCCACGGATACTGCTGTCAGATGCTCATGAAGCTAATCCCTCTCCTCCATACCTGCAAGCCAGGAGGCCTCAGGATGCTTGGAAGGGTTATCTTGGCTTCCCCAAGCCATGGGCAGGCAGGGAGGACTCAAGGCACATGGACCACAGAGTGTGAAAAATCTCAGTTCCCTGCTGGGACATCAATTTCTGGGACCCCCCTGGGCAGCTCTGGTGCCATCTCACCAGCTTTTCTAGCAGAATGCTGTGGCTTTCATCATCTCAATCTCTTTCTTCTCCTCTTTTTGTGGCAAACCTTGTACAAAAAATGTAGGAGCTCCTGGGAAACAATGAGGAGAAAACAAATCCAACATCAGGTGGTGCAATTAGAGCAGATGAAATACATTGCTGGCTTTTATTTGCTCATGTGTGGGCCCAGTTCATAATGAGTATTATATTTGTTTTCTCATGAAGATAAGATCCAAAAAGAAAAATAAATCCCACCAAAAAAAAGTATCTTGTTCATGCACACCAGTACAAAGACGTGGCCTAATAAGCACCAAAATAAAGGGCTGTAGAACAAAGTGTGAAAGCAGAGGTCCAAGCTTGAGACACCTCATTAAATTGTGATTAAAATAAATCTCTGTCTGTTCTTGCCTAATTTCCTGCCTATTGATGGGGGATTATCTAGCATTGGCAGTGGGATTATTGCACAGCCTGTAGTGAAGGGATGTTCCTGTCACCTTTATTGCTGTTCTAGCTTCCTTATCTTGGGAATGTGCTTCAGGACCAGATCCACTCATCTTGTTCCCGTGCATGATCAAGTCCACACTGTCTGAATTTTGGGGACAACAGCAGCCTGGGCATTTTTCTGTGGCACTGAAGGTGCCGGTTGCCTGGGGTAGCTGGGGAAAGGGCATCCCATGGCTGTGCTTTGGAGGAGCCCAGTGCCAGGAGAAGGACAGAAGGGCAGGAAGATGTTGGCTGGTTTGGTGACTACTGGCTTCCCAGCACTCAGCATATTGTCTCCAGCTGGGAGCTGCATGGATATCAAGAGATGCCCCATACATGGAAGTGTTTGAGGCAGGTTTGGATGGAGCTTTGAGCAACCCCCAGGCCAAATGGGCTTTGTAGCCCCAGAGAAAAAAAATAGGGTGAAGGAAATGCCACAGTGGACACATCTCCATTGTCCAGAAGTGCAGCTGCAGCATGTTGGTTGGATGCATGACCAGGCATCTCTGCTCATGGGCAGCTTGTGTGCTACCCTTGTGAGAGCAATTTTTCCTGTATGTTAGTGCCATTGGACAGCCCCAGTAAGGTACAGCCAGCCAGCAGTGTTCCTTAAGCAGGAAAGAAAAGTGATGGCTGCTGGGAGGAGCCCATTGATATTGCTCTATTTCTGACCCACTCCCCACACTGGGTGATACCAAAGGATTGTACAGGAGGGAAGGCTGCACTGCAAGGGCACAGTGTGGGCACTGCTGCTTTCCAAGGGGTCTGGCATGATCCAGAAAGGATGCTCTCATGTTGGCTGCCCTGGACTGGCTTATGCTGCACTGTATGTGCCCAGCACTGCCATCCTGACAGCCTGTGTGCTCTCTGATTGCAGGCACTACCCCAGCAAGGCTGGCCATGACCTGAGTGACACTTGGTATGACAGCCCTGTGCCCAGCTACTCTTCCACCACCTGGATGGTCCCCAGGGAGCATGGAAAGACCTTCCAGACAGGTAAGCACTGTTTGCCTGGGATGGCTCAGAGTGCTCAGGGATGGGAGCTGAGGTCCCAGCAGCAGGACAAGGCTCTTGGGGAGTGTCCATAGGTGCCTCTCATTCCATCACTGCCTCCTGTCTCTATGCAGGTTCCCCTGACAGCAAGGCAGAGGGACTGGAGGGACAGATCAACAGGCTGGCCAAGCTGATTGGCAAGCTGGAGGACAAGGTAAGGGTCAGTGTTTCCTTATGTGGGGCTGTCTTTTGGGTGTCCCTGCAGCCCCATCATTCCCTTGCCCTGGTTGGGGCAGAGGTGGCCAAGAGGTAGCTGTGCCCTTCCCAATGCTGTGTGTGCATGGGCCATGGTGAGGAGCTGGATTGCTAGTGGTGCTGGAGGATATTCTTTCTGATGAGCTGATGGCAGCTATGGAATGTGGAACAATTAACTGAGTTTATTTAAACATGAAAAAAACATAAGGGAAAAGGCAATCTCTCTTGCTGAGGTGGTCTGACTCCATCTAGGGATTGAAAGAGAAGTGTTGCTGTGCAAGAGACGTTTCTGAAATCCTCCTAATTTGCACTTCCAGGGCAGAAGGGGACAGGGGGAAAGTGGTGCTGTGTCCACATACAGAGCAGAGAGGTGCCAGCAAGTTTGAGGACAGAAAAATGTTGATTATGGCTGCTAGAGGGCTAAGAGTGTGACAGGACTAGGAAGGAGTGAGGGGAAGAGGGTACTCCTGGTCCTGCCATCCTAGGGAAAATTCAAGGACCATGAAAAGGTGACAGCTGTTTTGGGGCTGGGATGAGGACATGGTGTTGGGGATTTTGGCTGTGCTGAGAGCACCAGAAGCTTTTGCAGAGGGTCCTGACCAGAGGGCACAAAGGAACAAACAGCTATTGGAGCCATCCCCTGCAGAGAAGGGGGCACAGCCAGTCATGCCAAGTGCGGGGGCCAGAAACCCAGTGAGCAGGGAGGGACACACAGCCTTAGCTAACCTACCACCCCTGCTAATTCCCGTTTTCCCAGACGCTCTGGTTTGACCTGCACCAGCGGCTGTCGGACAGCGAGAGCACAGCTTGCACGGTGAGTGTGCCCAGCACATGTGGGTGCTGGGGTGTCCCTGCAGCATGGGGCCAGACTGGGGGGAGGGGGTCACTGTGTTTTCAGGTCTCACATGTCGCTGTGTTCTGGGGGTCCGGCAGTACCTCCTCCTGGTGCGGAACGAGATGACGGTGTCACACAAGCACCTGGGCGAGTTTTGCAGCTCCCTGAAGCAGTACCTGAAGAGCGTGGCCGGGGAGCGGGACTGCTTCCAGTGGGTTCCAGTGGTGACCCCCAGCAGCCACACACTGGGGAGACTGGGGGGACATGGGGGAGGGGGCAGAGGGTGACCAGCTGCCCTTGCACCCTAACCCTAACCCTAACCCCACCAAGTGAAGGACTGAGGCAAACCAGACAGGATTGGGAATGTAGTCATGCTTGCCACCAACACCATTTTGCATGGGCTGGGAAGTACTGGGGTTGGGGGGGGCTCTCCTTAACTGGGCTGCTGGGGCTGGGTCACCCCTCAGTAGCCTACCCTACAGTATGTCTGTGGCTGCAGAGGCTGAGGGAGAAGGGATGGCCCATGTTGGGGGCTCACCCCCTCTCCCTGCTTCTGTCAGCATCACTGCAGTGAAGCTGCCTGATGGGGTCACTTTCATTGTCTATGAGTTCTGGGAGACCGAAGAAGACTGGAAGAGGTAAGGGAGGGGTTGCAAAAAGCCCTTTTTTTTTTTTGGAAGGGTTCTTGGCATGGAGGGTTGTTGGAGCTGCTGAGCCTCAAGCTCGGTCCACTGTCTAATGGCAGGGCCAAGGAGCTGTCTGCCTGTCCAAGGGCTGTCCCTGTAAACAGGACAGGGGGTTTGGGGTGGGTCTCTCTATGCCTTCTACCTGAGGATGTCTTTGGATGTGGGGATGGAAGGTCCCACTGTCCTGAACCATGGCAGGGTGCTCTGCCCAAGGGGAAGTGAGCAGGATTGCTGGCACAGTCTCTGCTAAAGCCCATGGGAGTATGGGGGGGCTGGGATGGTGTTTCTGGGAGCATGGGGTGACAACCCATTCTCTCCCACCTGGGTGCAGGCACCTGCAGAGTGCTACCTGCAAGGGCTTCCAGCACGTCAAGGTGGACACACTGAGCCAGCCCGAGGCCATCTCCAGTGTGTCTGTGCCAGGTAGGAGGCCAACTGCACTGCAGGGTGGGGGACAGGGACCCCTGGGCAGCCAGCATCCCTCTGGTTGTTGGGGAGCAGGGGTGGGCACAGGGCACAGGGTGGAGGACAGCACAGGCTGGGCTGGTTGGGACAGGGTGGGGGTCAGAGTGACACGGGACTGGGCAGGGGTGACCCTCTGGTGCCGTTCCCCCTGCAGCTGCCTGGTGCACCCTGAGCCGAGAGTGACCATCGGTGCCGGGCGAGGCACACCAGCACCTGTCCCCTCTGCAGGGTGGCCATGACCTCCTGCATGGCCGGGGAGTGGGAGGTGTTGGTGTGACCTGTCTGCAGTGAAGGAAACCCCCATGTGTGTCCCCACCACCCCATAGAGTCCTCCCCCAGCTACCCCATCACCTGGGTCATCCCTCCCTGGCGTGGGGTGGTGTCTGGGGGAAAAGGTCTGCCAGGGAGGGGCTGGCAGGGGTTGGGGGGGGGGGGCATCACACACAGGCAGGGAGTGAGGGCAGCAGGGTGCAGGCAGTCAGGCATTCAGGCATTGGGAAGCAGGGGTGAGAGGCTGGAGCTCCCCCTGAAACCAGGGATAAGTTAGGCATCCATGCTAGTCCCCAGGGCCACCGGGGGAGCGGGCTGGGGAGGGGGGAGAGGGTGTGTGAGGCTGTGCCTGGCACAGTGTGTGTGCCTGCAGGGATGGGGACCTGTGTCCCTGGGGGGAGTCAGGGTGATGGCAAAGGGAGGGTATCCCTGCTCCCAAGGTG